CTTAATCATTGGCTTTAAAAAAAAACAAAAAAACGACGACGAGAGCTTATATCAATGCATGTTTGAAATGTGTCTTTCTGTCTTGATGATTTAAATTTAAAAGCACTAGAACTTAAATGTTAATGCAAAAGTTAGTTAACACCCATCTTTTTCAGCCATATAACGAACCGGATTATACACAAATGATGTAGATCATAAGGTTTGTTATTTTTTTTACCATGTAGTAGAGTTCAACACTGGTTTGATAAAATTGCCAATCCGAGTTTGATTTCAGGAGATAGGGAGATAACCTAAGTAAATTTAAAAGTAAGAAAGTTTAAATAATTGTCTTCCCTGAACTCGAAGTGTTAATAACGGGTGCCCTTGTCCGGTGAAGCATTCGCATTTTAAATTTTTACATTTATCATGTCACTTATGTTATTAAAATGAGAAAAAAAAATAGCGACTTTGCAGAAATCTTTAAAAATATTGTTAGATATTTTAACCCAGGCTAATACCAGCCGTGAGTATGCTGTGAGCTCAGTACACATTTAGAACTAGGTTAAGGTAAACAAAAGGCTTCTGCACACTGAGAAAGGTAAGTGGTCACACAGGTTAAATAGGCATAATGTCTTAAGGTTTGCATAAAATACACTAGTAAGATGCTCAAGTCCGTGATTAGATAAAAGATTTAACTCAGGTCAACATATTTGAAGTTTAACTTTGTCTTTATTATTTCCATGTAGGCTGTTTAAGTATGTATAGAAGGGGATAAATCACAACTTTTTAATGGTTAGCTTAGCTTAGCCATAGATGTTCCCCGGTATTTAAACACCTACTTCATTATTATGTACTGGTGTCTTGTGTTTTGTAAGAGCAGTTTGCTTTTTTTACCTTGCAAATTATTTTATCTCTTAATTATAACTACAAGTCATATAAAGAATTGTGAACTTAGGTTCTTCCAGGCATCTCTTCGAAATTTTTTTACCGCCCCCCCCCCCCGAATGAAATTTATATAATTTATATAGAAAATATATACTTTTAACAGTGTCCGCCCCCCCCCCGAAGAAAGTTTACCGCCCCCCCCCCCCCCCGAAAATTTCAAGTCCCCCCCCCCCCCCGGAGAAAAAAGTCTTGAAGAAACACTGAACTTAGGGTTGTCCAGATTTTCTTTCAGGCATCCTTTCATCCCATCTGAACCTTCCTCCCGATTCATCCACTCGATTCATCCTATTAGCCAATCAGATTCACACCGTTCATACCACCCATCCCCTGCCAGATCCTACTATCCCATCCATACACACGTACACTCATCTATCCATTATAACAGACTTGGAGAGGGATAAAGTTTTAAAAAGCTGACACAATATAATATACAAAAGGTTTTATTCGTGAAACTCAAACAATAGATCAAATGATGTCTTAGTATGTTGTGTTTTGGCACCCAAGAATGTAATAATTTGGCAACATGGTGTACAATTAATGTGACACTCTGATTTTAAGGAGACTGTACATGAATACATTGCTAAATAACATTATCTAATTAACCAAAGTTCCAATTTAACTGTACATGATGATTGCATCAGGGTAGCTATGATAGATTATGTACGTGAAACAAGTGGTATCTAGTTGGCATCGAGTTTGCAAAAAAACAGTTATTTAGCTTAACCATAACATGTCTGTACGGGAGCATATTTCGTCCAGTCTGAGAGAGCCCACTTCCCCCTCTGTGACTGACGGTATACATAGGAAAACATTTTTAAAACGTGCACACTCGTATAAAATAAAACATAACAAAACACATTTTAATTTTCTTAGCAAGTATGTAGCATCAGTATCAGAAGTTTCTTTTAACAATTAACAACACTGAAACATATGTGCGGAAGGGATGCGCGGATCTTTGACCACAGGTGCTTTGGCCACAGAGGGTTTGACCATAGGTGGTTTGACCACAGAGGGGCTTTGACCACAATGGTCAAAACCCCTATGGTCAAAGCCCTTCTGTGGTCAAAGTCCCTATGATCAAACCCCCTATGGTCGAACCTCCGCTGTGGTCAAACCCCCTATGGTCAAAGCACCTAGGACCGTGCGGAAGTGGACTATATTATTGTTTCGTGATTTACACAATCGAAATTTAAGGTTGAGTAAATTTTTAAATGATCCCATTTACGCGCAGTGTTAATAAACAAAATCTAGCAACTGCCTCTCGTAGAAAAGCTTCTGATATTGTGCATGGGAATCGTGTACTTTTATCGGGCGATGTGGAAATCTGTCTATCTATCTATCTGTCTGTCTGTATGTCTGTCTCTCCGCCCGCCCGCCTGTCTGTCTGTCTGTCTATATAACTATATATATAACTATATATATATATATATATATATATATATATATATATATATATATATATATATATATATATATATATATATATATATATATATTGGAGGAGATGTTGAATAATTTAAAAAAAAATAGGGTTGGTGTTGTAAGAAAGTGTTCTTAGACGTAACAGAAATAGATTAAATGTCCCATTAAAAAATATTATGTACACGATCTTGAAATGCGTTCAGTTTTAACCACTAATTTGAAGGAAAAGAAACCAAATGCACTGACAACTAGAACAGTTGAATAGTTCTATTGAGGCACACCGGTAGAACTTTCACGGCACAAACAAAAGTGTAGGCTCACTGCACATATTTCTAACGTGTAGGCTCACTGCACATATTTCTAACGTGTAGGCTCACTGCACATATTTCTAACGTGTAGGCTCACTGCACATATTTCTAACGTGTAGGCTCACTGCACATATTTCTAACGTGTAGGCTCACTGCACATATTTCTAACGTGTAGGCTCACTGCACATATTTCTAACGTGTAGGCTCACTGCACATATTTCTAACGTGTAGACTCACTGCACATATTTCTAACGTGTAGGCTCACTGCACATATTTCTAACGTGTAGGCTCACTGCACATATTTCTAACGTGTAGGCTCACTGCACATATTTCTAACGTGTAGGCTCACTGCACATATTTCTAACGTGTAGGCTCACTGCACATATTTCTAACGTGTAGACTCACTGCACATATTTCTAACGTGTAGGCTCACTGCACATATTTCTAACGTGTAGGCTCACTGCACATATTTCTAACGTGTAGGCTCACTGCACATATTTCTAACGTGTAGGCTCACTGCACATATTTCTAACGTGTAGGCTCACTGCACATATTTCTAACGTGTAGGCTCACTGCACATATTTCTAAAGTGTAGGCTCACTGCACATATTTCTAACGTGTAGACTCACTGCACATATTTCTAACGTGTAGGCTCACTGCACATATTTCTAACGTGTAGGCTCACTGCACATATTTCTAACGTGTAGGCTCACTGCACATATTTCTAACGTGTAGACTCACTGCACATATTTCTAACGTGTAGGCTCACTGCACATATTTCTAACGTGTAGGCTCACTGCACATATTTCTAAAGTGTAGGCTCACTGCACATATTTCTAACGTGTAGGCTCACTGCACATATTTCTAACGTGTAGGCTCACTGCACATATTTCTAACGTGTAGGCTCACTGCACATATTTCTAACGTGTAGGCTCACTGCACATATTTCTAACGTGTAGGCTCACTGCACATATTTCTAAAGCAATGCCTCAAGCTACACATCAATAAGCCTTTTAGCTATTCATTACATGTAAATGGTTTCTATCTAAAGAAATTCAAAATACAAACTTATATCAGCAATATTTGCAAGATTTCGTCCTAACTAAAACAATCATATGAACGATATAATAATAAGCTTTTAAATGCATTAAAAATAAGAAAATAAACATAAATTATATCTAATGTAATAGTAAAAAAGCGTTCATTGCCCCAGAAATACTTTTGATACATTTTGCGAACAATTTATGTGCTACTGTTATTATAGCTAAAGACAATTTAGGTTTATTTGTTTGCTTTTAGTCCATTGACAAGCCTAAAAGTTTTTTAAAGAAATGTCTCGTTTTCTAATTTTTAGTATCTAGTAGAAGAATGAAGTCGACACCTGACCTTCAAACTGTTAAAATAGTTTTAACTTAAAACCCGATCATAATTCTAAACAACAGGTATCTGCCCTTTATTAGACTTCGTGGTCGGCTCTAATAAAACATCCGTTAACCAAGTTCACCTTTCTGATCGATATCGTTAACATCTCAGTCTCTACATCTTATCTTTTAATTGCTCATTTAATATCTTTAACATCTAATTACATTGTAAATTGATTACTCTTGAGTACACTGGAAAATTATCTGGAAATCGCTGCATGGGTAAAAAATTAGAATATTTGTACCAATCACGTTTGTGGCCTAAGCAAAAGCTTTAAAAATATGGATAAAGCGCATCTATATCTTCATATGCCTAGGTCACAGAAACAAGTGAACTCTACTTCACTTGCCCCATAGACCGTTAGGTTTGAAAGGGAAACTTTACTTTTATATCATAATGGTTAGCCTTGGTTAAATCGTGTAAGTGAAACTGGTGTTTAAAGGGACTGAATACGCTTTGATGGACGTACATTGTAACTAATCTCATCAAACATTAACCTCAAATGTATAACTTAGGAGCAGAGAATAGCGGTGTGTTGAAGATGGGGAAGTAATTTCTTTTTGGCACGTTCAGAAGAAAGAAAGAAATATGATGAGCACAAGTTTAGTTACTAGATGGCTGAATAATACCAGTGGGTACTTTGTTGCATCTTTTATAGGTACTTTACTACACTTTACTACATCTATCATAAGAACTATATATATATATATATATATATATATATATATATATATATATATATATATATATATATATATATATATATATATATATATATATATATGCATGTATATTTACTAGTACATCAAAATAGTCTTTTTTCTGATCTAGTTACCTTTATGAAAATCTACATCTTCTCAAAAATGGTCAAAGTAATGAAATTGACCCTCTAGTGACATTGAAATATGTTTTCATATTTCCACATGTCATGAAAAAACAAGTTTGAAGTATAATGTTAAATATGCATTCGTTGTTTTTTCTGACTATGCGCTGGCAACAGTTTTGTGTGTGTATAAACTTCTCTTGAATAGATTGAGCCAAGTAGTTGAGTAGTTTACTTGCTAGAGCAAGCAGTAAAAAACCGTAGATATCGTCAGTACAACAAGAGAGTCATGTATTAATGTGTGAGGCACTACAGCAGTGTTGTGAAGCTCAGATCCTTGCCTGTTGTCAACTTCACCACCTGTAAAAGGAATATTTATTGTCTGAATAAAGTATAGCAACAGTTCTCAATTACTGTAAACATCAGTAGGCTAAATGAATCTACTAAATACATTTTTCATTCACACACCTCTGTGTTGGAGCTGCATGCACGACACGTACTACACACACCTTTGTGTGCGAGCTACATGCACGACACGTACTACACACACCTTTGTGTGCGAGCTGCATGCACGACACGTACTACACACACCTTTGTGTTGGAGCTGCATGCACGACACGTACTACACACCTTTGTGTTGGAGCTGCATGCACGTACTACACACACCTTTGTGTTGGAGCTGCATGCACGACACGTACTACACACCTTTGTGTGCGAGCTGCATGCTCGACACGTACTACACACCTGTGTTTGAGCTGCATGCACGACACGTACTACACACACCTCTGTGTTGGATCTGCATGCACGACACGTACTACACACCTTTGTGTGCGAGCTGCATGCTCGACACGTACTACACACCTGTGTTTGAGCTGCATGCACGACACGTACTACACACACCTCTGTGTTGGAGCTGCATGCACGACACGTACTACACACCTTTGTGTGCGAGCTGCATGCACGACACGTACCACACACACCTTTGTGTGCGAGCTACATGCACGTACTACACACCTATGTTTTGGAGCTGCATGCACGACACGTACTAAACACACACACGATTAATTATCATGACTATGCATTTTTTAAAATGGCATTTAAAAAGATAATTGGCATACTTAAATTTCGTCTGTTTTCATTTTAAACCCAAACCTGTTTGACTTTTACAAACATTTCTTCTTTGAATCTGATTTTAAAACAAAAAAACTTTAATTTACACCCAGAGAAATGTTACATCGTCTGATGAGCGACGTCCAGACCTCACGCGGTGAGACACGGTGATGGCCTGTACTTGTACTGTTTGAGCGACGGTACGAGAAGAAACAAACACGCGCAGTGTTGGCGGCTTAATGTCTAGCTGTAATATCGGGGCGTTCTTTTAAATCTAGCCATCATTTTATATATCTCAATACCTTCACATATGCATGTAAAACGATGTTCTAACGGTTCGATATAATTACAGATCTGGATTTAGTGAAAGTACTAAGGTCTCTATTGTGTGATAAAACAAAAGAGGAATAAAGTGTTAATTACAGAAGTTGTTTAATTTTTGAATGTACTCCTCCATGCTGGTCTCTGGAGACATAAGTTCCCAGCAATTGCCCGACATTCTCCCGATGCACTTCAGTTGTTTTGGCAACAATCTGTTGTGAAAAAAAAATTGCTATACATATCACTTATACAGTGGGGTATAAATACTTAACTGACTTCAAACGGTAAATATGGGTTATATTTTACCGTTTCTAAAAATGCTGTACGTGATTGTGTCTTTGCAATTATAACACATTGCTTTCCCGACCATCAGTTGTTTTTGTTTGGTGTAAAACAAAAGGTAAAAAAAAATGTGGGTACGACTGCGATGTTCAATATAGCATGCAAACGTACACCATGTTATTGAAAAAAACCCACTAGGGGCCTATATTAAATTATTTTAGTTTTCATTGATCTTTGCTGCTTTTGGTTTAAGTCAGTAGTGTTGAGGCAATTTAAACCAATACCTTTCTTTTAGCTGCCAAAGTGGTTGTCTACTCGTTGGTTGTTAACTGGGCAAAAGTATTTGTTTCCCCTGGCCCGTGGTGGTATTTTATTTCTTTTACGTTAACTTCACGGCGGCCCAAAGATTAGCAGACATAGAAACACTAACGGCATTCCTGTGACAAAACAGCTCGGTCAAAATAGTAGGGCATAATTTCCCTTCCCCCGACAATAAGCGTCCGTTCCCATCCCCTACGGAATGACCTTGACTTTGGTAGTCCTAAGCAAAGGATCACTGATCTAATCACCATAGCATGCGGCTAGGCCGACAAACCGAAAACACATCGCCTGAAACAATCTGGCTGTACACCTGTTGTATTGTGCACACTAAAAAGTACCCAAGTATTACTATACAACCCCCTTTCCATCTGCACTAAGCCACCTAAACACCCCTAACAGCAACCTATTTCCTTTCAATCTTAATATAAACACTATAACCATAACGCTCCTTAACAAGTTTTTCACATGCAAATTTCACGCTTCTCCACTGCATGTCTCTACTCTGACAATATTCCTTTGACATTAAAATAATTAACTATTAAGTTTTGAACAAGTTTTCCGATTTATGTAAAACGCATTTATTGTTAGCATTGATGAGCTAAAATGTCTCGAGGTCGTTGGTTGGACTTGTCTTGTAAGGTCATACAAAGCTGACCACCAAGTCACTAGTTAAGGAAAATAAAGGGAGTCTAGGGAAAATAAAGGAAATAAAGGGCCTAGAACTATTAGAACTGACGTCAGTTTATTCACATGTTTAACTGTCGGTTAAGTATCATAACAACTCCTTACTACTATTACAAGTCATCGCAAACAGGTTTAGTTGGAATGTGCCGTTAGGTGTGAAACCGCTGAAGATACTTGTGAACTTTAATGTGGCCGTATATTGATCAATGGAGATGCTGTCGTGTTTATGGTCTCGAATAGAAAGAAACCCGAATAGTTAGTATGGTTAAATCTATGGGGGTCTAGTTGCTTGAGAACTTTTAGCTGGTAGCTTTAAGGATGATGTACACCGTTAGCTTAAATCCCTTTACTGGAGCCCTAATTAAATGGGGCTCACTAGTTATGGGGGAGGGTGACATCAGGATCTTTTGTGTGTATATGCGTTTGGGGCCGTACTGTCACTGGCAGTTTTTATGCAATCTGTGATTTTGGAATTTCTAGCACAATTCCTTAAAGCAGAAATAAAACATAGCGAAAAGCTGATAGGCTATTTTTAGAAAATTTAAGCAAAAAATAAATTTAATTCATCATGGTTTTTTTTTACGCTGTATGTTTTAATTTAATTTTTTGTATGTCGATCTCATTCTGAAACTAATTAATTCTGTCTTCTGTATTGTCTTCTTTTTTAAGCTGTTAATACATGAAACATTTTTTTTTAAACTGAGACTGTCAAGGTTTTTTTATTGGTATAATTGAGCTTGGATAGTAAAGCAGTGCGTCTGTTTGTAATCTTTCGCTTACACATGTTCGAAAAAAAAAAACAGTCAGTTATAGGCTTCTGTCGCAGGGGAGACAAAACGTTTTAATATAACAATACTGTAAATACACATTTAAATAGTCGTAATTTGATTTCTACCTTGATACTAACAGAGGCGTACGCAGGTTTCCCGGTTCGAGGGAGCGGCGTTTGAAAAAAAAGGCATTATATATATATATATATATATATATATATATATATATATATATATATATATATATATATATATATATATATATATATATATATATATATATATATATATATATATATATATCCCCTTCCTGCTATTCTTGAAATATTAGAGATAAGTAAAATGATCGCCTACAGTGCACTTCACGTAAACAATTACCCTGTGCATCTAGACTGATGTTATAACTTAAATAGACCTCCCGTATAAAAGATTGATAGGTGAATTGAGTTGCGAATTGATATGTGAATGGTTGACGGTCCATGTCAAGCATGCATGAAGATAACAGCAGATGCACAGATGTTAAAGTGACTTTGTGACAGTAAGCTCCTCGCTCATGCCTCGCGCTCAGCAAGGCGCCAAGATGTAGGCCAAGTTGCATCCTCGCAACGAGTCATATACAAGATATTTAGGCTTCATAACATGACAGTTTTAAATAAATAGTTTCAGTCTGTTTGCTGTTGTTGTTTTGTTTAAAATTGGTATTGTAACGTGTTTTAAATGTTATTCAATTAATATCCTAAAAAGGTGCCACCATCATTAAAATGTCCGTAGGGGGAGAAACTGCTCGCCTGCTCCTACCCCACCCCCTACCTTCGCACGTTACTGCTAAGTAATATGAATACTGGTGTAGCTGTACGTATATTTTGCTTATGATTTTTTTTTCTCCGTAACATATTTTTACACCTTCGAGTAGAGACCCATTAAGCTTTTCATTAAAGCATTTTTAAGTCCTGCATTGGTTGCCGAAAACAGTTTTAAAGTAATATTTAAACATGTACTATGTGTCACTGATTGATTTCACTCACCTGCAGACTTTCATTTTATCTTTTTGTTGGTCAGTTATAATCTTTTGTTGGAGTATCCTATCACAGCCTTTTGGCACTTTGCAGCACAAAATCATTTGTTGAATACCTGATAAAACAATATAGTATTGTAATGACCGGTTCAGATGTAAAGAATAAATATATATGTAATGACCGGTTCACAAGTAAAGAATAAATATATATGCCGTCACGGCATAGTTGTCTCACTTTGTTGATTGCCGCGAACCTCCAAAGTTGTTTTTAAAAGTTTGAAATTTTCCCAAATAACGTTGTTGTTTTTTTAAATCTTTTCATATAAGACTTTTTATATTTTGTTAACTAGAATTTATACTCAATGACTGCTCAATAGCTAGTCGAACCTATAACCACTTGGCTTCAAGTGTTTGGCTAATTATTGGTCAAATACCAATATCCTTTTGTTCGAGGCCTATATATCGTTATAGTTATGTCAAGACGTTTTGTAAGAAATGTGAGCACACAAACCTAAGATCTCTCACCAAAGACAAGCCGCTAACGAAATGCGTAGAAATAGATTAAAACAAACGACAAGGTTAGCTAAAGATGATAGATCTAGCTAAAAATGGCAAGTAGATAAGAGCGTGTGTCAGAAGATGGAAACCCAGATAACTGAAAGCTTGTGGCAAGTGGGCTTTGTATTTGTGTGAAGTGTCGAGTTCTGGCAGTGAAGATAATTAACACATAGAGTTGGGGAAAATGTATAGGAGGGTGAGACTTAACACACACACAGACACACACACACACACGCACGCACATAAGTCGAGATTTGTGAACACCTCGATTTCGATTTTTGCACAAACTTTTATGTAATAATGCACTAAAAGGAGAAAATAAATGCTTTTCTTTATAATAGTACACCACTATTTAAAATAACTATTAAAAAGCGTTGGGGCTCTTTATTATCTATTGGATAACCTTTACTAATGTTTAGGAAGAGACCCACGCTTTTCTTTATAGTTTTTTAAAATGTTGTGTATTATTACACAACGAGGAAGACAGACACCATACTACTAATAATTTCAGAAAATCGTAATTAATTCATAAAAAATTAATTAGTCATCCAATTAAGCCAAATTTGATGTCAGATTGCATCTTCATGCTGACATTGGTCTGTTAAAAGTGCCCGAAATTTCGCTCGCCCGTTTCGATCTACGACGACAGACATGACGAGGAAGCAAGCTAAAGCTTGTAACAATGGAAGAGCTATTATTGTAAAACTAATAATTTTAAAAGGGATTTTTAAATGCACATTTTACGTCATTATTTTTATAACCTATTGTTATGTTATTATTATTATTTTGCAAGAATATTAAAAGCAATGTTTTTAATAACCTTCCCTTTCTAAACTTAAAAATATATTTTACAACCTGTCATCAATACATTTTTATATGTATTTATTTAACTAGTGCGTCACTATGATCCTATTTCGATACACCTCTACTCTCATTACAGGTATGATTCATTAAAATTTGAGAATATGTTTCATGTTTGCGTCGTATTACCACCTGCGCATGCATGTTAAATGAAAACAAAAACATTATTATTTAAATTAGATTATTGTTTTTGACTATCCAATCGTTACATTCTAATATTGCTTGCAAATAGCGTATTTACCTTCCCTGGATTTTTGTTATTCAATGTAAATGTTTGCAGAAAACTACATTTGATCACAAGAAACCATTTTATTTTGAGAAAGGTATATCATTCAATAAACTATAAAATTTGTTAATATTCAGATATATTTATCCTTTATAAACATATTTATATCTTTTCTCATTGAACTATCTGTTTTCTGAAAATTGTGTACTAGGTGTTCCTAAAATAAAGTCGTTTTCTAGATTTTATCTCCACTGCTTGTAAGAACGTTATTGCCTCGTTAATATTATGATACGAGCTGACCCGCGGCGTATCATACGCCACTATTTGTTTTATTTTCTACTGTTCAGTACTTCATAGTTAGTGAATTCGACACTACCCTCCTTTCCACCCCCCAACTCGCCACCGTGAGAGCAGCAGTCCGTGGCGACAATTTACGGACGACAATCAAAAGATCAAGCAGAACTGCTTACCTTTCATTAGTTTCAAATCGTTTAAAAGCTAAATTATCTGCCCCTAATAACCGTTACTAATCCGACCCGGCTCCACGATTGTAAACATTCGGGGTGAACCTTAGATCACCAGAATTATGGGGGGGGGGGGGGGGTGTTAGCTATATGGTAAAAGAGCGGAGGAGTAATGGTGTGCGTTTACTTGGTGGTGTCTCGCATGGTCCCCATGAAGAGAATTATATTTATAGATACTGAATAGAGGACTTTGTTCCCATTTCAGCAAGTACTGTTATGTTTCATTTTTATATTTATTTTTATGGGCTTCCTTACTTGATTTACAAGGGTGGTGTTTTTAGACTTGAATTAAACAAATTGTTACACTAAAATAATAAATGCGACAAGAATTCGTAACTAGTTAAGACAAAACCGTATTAAATGCGTTATCTGGCTATACGTTTTTTTTAAGACAGTTATCAAGGCAACATTTTTAACGCAAACATCCTCAACGAAATGTTTCATTGTTCATAAAATGATTGTCAACAACCGCCAATGACAGTTAACAATACCGTTGAACTTTTAAAAAAAAGTAGAGGCCAGATTAATAAGATGTACAGGTTAGTTTAATGATTTAATCTTTCCTTTATTCACATCTTTTGGTAAACGTTCACTAGATACATACGTGTGTCTGCCAAGAACTCCCCATCACCTTGGACGCTGTAAACATTTGCCCCGTCAAGAAATGTGGTACTTAATCCGAAAGTTGTGTTCCTAAGCAGAAAAACTACCGAGATGTTTGACATCTCTAAACACATTGTGGTCTTCCTGTGTCTCTAAGCAGCTGAAGTTCCAATCGATACGCTCAATTTTTTTTTCCGATTTCCTGGTTAGTTTTTATTTACTAGGAAGGGCACCCTGCGTTGCTTAGGATTTGCAATGGTATCAACTAAAGCTGGTCTTTATATTAACTTTAAATTTCTGTCTGTATGGCGAAATATCAATTTTGAATATTGTGTAATACATGGGGTACCAGCTAGGGGAGATGATTTATGCTTTATTTGGTTGCGGCCCCTGTGGGACCGCAACTGTTGAAGTTATTTTTTATGGTCCACGGTGAGCAATGTTTCCCCGTATTTCTCATGTCATGTGACCTCTGGGTAGTTGTGACTGTGTCGATGGCATTCATACCCCAGGCTGCGGGTGACCAGGACAGTTGCTGACATGGGCGTAGATTAACTTAGTTGTATATAGACCTAACGAAGGTATTACATTTTACATTACTTGTTTTTTATTATCCTACTGGTGCCGCAAGATGCGGACTAGATAGGAGAAGTAAATTATATTTATAATTCTTGTTAGCAGTATTGTTATACTGGCCTTTACCTTCTACTGCATTATTTTATGACGAGGCTGCTAGTTTGGTGCGACTCGGCACCCGTGTATTTATCTTATAGGCTACACGTGGTTGTGTATTAAAATATGTAATCTATTGTTTGTTCACATTTGTTTTAGGGCTATATGAACTTGTCATTGGATTTGTCATAGGACTTGTTTTAGTACTTGTACTTATACTTGCACTTGCAATTATACTATTCTGTGCAATGCGGTGTGTGAAATAAATAAGGATCCGTAAGCAAGAAGCGTCGTTGATTGTGTTATCTCCAGTAGCGTACGCAGGGGGGGAGCAGGGGGAGCGGCCGCTCCCCCTTTGGCAATTTTTAGCAAAGTGGCGCCTTTTTGGAAGCTTTTTAAACTCAAAGTTTTAAACATTGATATTTGTTAAAAAATTATCTTTGGTCGGCACATTTGAAAGGTAAATCTCTGTGATTATTGCTTTTTTTTTTCAATTACCAGTAAAAGGTATGTGAGCAATACAGTGATCTTGCCCATACCTTCTCATTATGTTGAAAAATTCTTTAAAGAACACATAAAGTCAGTAGCTAATTAAAAAGTGCATAATCTGATATGTAAGACCGATATATTAGTTATATGTAGGATATAATTCCGAACGTTTTATTTCTCTATTGAAAAGCTAGCTTTTATACCTTCTCTGATTTAAAAAACTTTCATTATACTGTAATACTTTAGCATTTATAATGACAATATATTTAATTCTGATTGTAGACAAAATATTTTTGTAAAAACGAATAGTGTTAAGCTACTTTATTAGATTCTAAAGTAATTATTGATTTGTTTTGATATTTATAATAACATGTGTAGATATATACATATTTATATTAAGATATTGATTATTTCCCATTTTCGCTAGTCTTAATAGATGTCCCAAGAATTATGTAATTTTTTTACAAGAATTACGAAACAGATTATGCCGCGTTCATTGTTTTTGGTTGTAGTGTGTTTATATATATATATATATATATATATATATATATATATATATATATATATATATATATATATATTAGAGTGATACCGTATTTTTTGTTTTATCGGCCTACATTTTGTTAATTTTTTTTTTATTTCTCAGAGTGCTAATTTAAATTTATTTTACATCACATCGAAGCAATAACATACAGCTTATATATATATATATATATATATATATATATATATATATATATATATATATATATATATATATATATATATAAAGAAAATATTACAAATTCGGCGCCTTTTTTGCTATTTCCGCTCCCCTTACAACGAAAACCTGGATACGCCTCTGGTTATCTCTTAGGGCCAGCCCTTAAAAAAACTACACCTCAGTGGGTGATCATTACACCACATCCGCACTGATGCAGTGTTACAATTGCTTGTGTTTTTAAAATCCAAATTAGCATGGTTTACTTTCTTAAATAAAAGCATTGGTCGTTAAAATATGTAATCAGTGACAATTGCTTTTATTAAAGAAAGAAAGATTCTTTTATTTTCTTATTTTCGGTGCATTTTAAAGCTTGTTATTATAAAGGTTTTTTTTACTTATTTTATTTTCTATTTTTTATTCATTCATTCGAAACGAAGTTGACATTACAGCTAAGACTAAATATATTTGCGGTAAAACCCG